AGAAGAGTTCGTATAGTTGATTTTTAGCTTTCTTTAAGTTCTTCCCAGCTGAATATACTCTTCCCAGTGAATAGTGATGGCTTCTGAATTATTACAGGTCAGGAATGAGACCTAGGGAAAAGGGTATAATTCTATGAAAGCACCAGCTCCAGTGTTCGCTCATATGCTGGGAGCAATGCCATTAGGTCAAAGTGAGAGAAACGCTAGGTAGGACAGGAGGGACAGGAAGGAATAAAGGTCATTACGCAGTCATTACCACCTGCAGCTTGCTGTCTCCTGCAGCCATCATCTCCTGTAGTCTTGCATTTTAATCCTGTGGAAATTTCTTCATAATCCACTCACTTATGGAAATGGCACAGATCAAATTTCCAAGCTGGGAGGCACAAATACCATCAGGTTACCAGAAAAGCTTTTGAAGCTGATTCAACAGCAGCCAAAGTGCTGAGGCTTTTGTGCTTCCCAGTGTGACACAGAGGATTCCTGCACCATGACAAGGGAGGACAGATGAGTACTCCCACCCTCGCCTAAGTAACTATTTTGCTCTAAGGTGCATGAGTTATGAGTTATGATTTAGAGAAACTGTGACTTACTAACTTCATTAAATAATGAAGTGATGAGTGACTTCACACTTTAGACAAGTCTGTACAAAAGGAGACTGAGCCCTTGTTTGACATTCTTGTCTTCTTTCCTAATGACCTCCAAAAAAAAAATAAAAAAGAGTTGTTTACAGAGTATAGTTATGATTTAGAGAAACTGTGACTTACTAACTTCATTAAATAATGAAGTGATGAGTGACTTCACACTTTAGACAAGTCTGTACAAAAGGAGACTGAGCCCTTGTTTGACATTCTTGTCTTCTTTCCTAATGACCTCCAAAAAAAAAATAAAAAAGAGTTGTTTACAGAGTATGTTGTCCTGTAAATTTGAGACATCTAAATGAATCGTGACACTCCAGCCTCAAAAGTAATTAACAAAATCAAACAGTAGGGATTTTTAGAAAAGCAACAGAAGACAAAACCAAAAGCACTGAAAAGGCACTGAGACATTTGGTGCACTCACATCTCACATACCATTTGCAGGTCTGCTTCTTAAGGAAAGACTGTTAAGGAATCAAAGAGGACAAAGACAGCCCAAGCTACGGAATTTCTTCCATAAAACAAAGGACTAAAATACACCAAAACTTTTCTCTTTGGAAAGAGAAGACGAAGGGGAATATGATCAGTGGATATAAAATCAGAAATCAAACAAAGGAAGTGAATAGCACTTTTCCTGTGTTTCAGGAAATCTAATCAGTGTACCCTGGAAGCGAGAGATGAAGTACAGTAATGCTACAGCTTCTCATGGCACCTCCTATGCATCTGTTGATGGCCTGTCAGAGGCAGGCTACAAACCTATACAAACCTCTAACTGACCTAGTTTAGCTGTTCTTCAATGTACTTTTCTAGCTTCTCATTTTGTCACTCCCTTCCTGATCATGCTGGGCAAGCAGGAAATAAGATGAGACAAGGGGAAATGTGCATCAGGACCTGACTGGCAAAAGAAGGAAGCAGGCAGGATTCTTGTTCAATGATAATCACCATCCAGTTTAATAGTCCCCATGCCAACTGCTGCCAGTCTGACTTAAACAATGGCATTTTACATCAGTTAACCATCATTTAAAGCACACCTCTGAGTGAGTGCAAAGCAGCACCTTGAGTGATTAAGTGAGCCAAAGAGGGAGGCACTTAAAAACCTAAAAAGATGGTCCCCATTCTAAGGAGTCTGCAAGCTCTCAGAGGATGAGCACATTGCTTGGCCGTGATCCGGTGCCATTGGCCGCAGTGCCAAGGGATGCAGCGACACGGTGCAGCAGGTGGTACTAAGAGCATTCCAACCAGGGTATTTGCATGTCCAGCAGATTCGTGCCCATGGCTGAGGTAGTTCAGACGTCGAAAGGAAAGAGTTCAGGTTACCAGAAAAGCTTTTGAAGCTGATTCAACAGCAGCCAAAGTGCTGAGGCTTTTGTGCTTCCCAGTGTGACACAGAGGATTCCTGCACCATGACAAGGGAGGACAGATGAGTACTCCCACCCTCGCCTAAGTAACTATTTTGCTCTAAGGTGCATGAGTTATGAGTTATGATTTAGAGAAACTGTGACTTACTAACTTCATTAAATAATGAAGTGATGAGTGACTTCACACTTTAGACAAGTCTGTACAAAAGGAGACTGAGCCCTTGTTTGACATTCTTGTCTTCTTTCCTAATGACCTCCAAAAAAAAAATAAAAAAGAGTTGTTTACAGAGTACGTTGTCCTGTAAATTTGAGACATCTAAATGAATCGTGATACTCCAGCCTCAAAAGTAATTAACAAAATCAAACAGTAGGGATTTTTAGAAAAGCAACAGAAGACAAAACCAAAAGCACTGAAAAGGCACTGAGACATTTGGTGCACTCACATCTCACATACCATTTGCAGGTCTGCTTCTTAAGGAAAGACTGTTAAGGAATCAAGGAGGACAAAGACAGCCCAAGCTACGGAATTTCTTCCATAAAACAAAGGACTAAAATAGACCAAAACTTTTCTCTTTGGAAAGAGAAGACGAAGGGGAATATGATCAGTGGATATAAAATCAGAAATCAAACAAAGGAAGTGAATAGCACTTTTCCTGTGTTTCAGGAAATCTAATCAGTGTACCCTGGAAGCGAGAGATGAAGTACAGTAATGCTACAGCTTCTCATGGCACCTCCTATGCATCTGTTGATGGCCTGTCAGAGGCAGGCTACAAACCTATACAAACCTCTAACTGACCTAGTTTAGCTGTTCTTCAATGTACTTTTCTAGCTTCTCATTTTGTCACTCCCTTCCTGATCATGCTGGGCAAGCAGGAAATAAGATGAGACAAGGGTGAATGTGCATCAGGACCTGACTGGCAAAAGAAGGAAGCAGGCAGGATTCTTGTTCAATGATAATCACCATCCAGTTTAATAGTCCCCATGCCAACTGCTGCCAGTCTGACTTAAACAATGGCATTTTACATCAGTTAACCATCATTTAAAGCACACCTCTGAGTGAGTGCAAAGCAGCACCTTGAGTGATTAAGTGAGCCAAAGAGGGAGGCACTTAAAAACCTAAAAAGATGGTCCCCATTCTAAGGAGTCTGCAAGCTCTCAGAGGATGAGCACATTGCTTGGCCGTGATCCGGTGCCATTGGCCGCAGTGCCAAGGGATGCAGCGACACGGTGCAGCAGGTGGTACTAAGAGCATTCCAACCAGGGTATTTGCATGTCCAGCAGATTCGTGCCCATGGCTGAGGTAGTTCAGACGTCGAAAGGAAAGAGT